CATACATCCAGGCAATACATTCATACACATAAAATTAAATAAAAATAATAAACAGTTTTAAAGTAATTATTGACCATTTGTGTTTCTTTTCCATTCATTAGCCCATTTGTTGATTGGCAGTTTATTTCCTTGGTATAAGGAATCTTGACAGTTCTTTTTACGTTCTGGATGTGAGCCTCTTGTCTGAAGTGTAGCTGGTAAAGATTTTCTCCCGCTCTGTGGACTGTGTGCTCTGCAGATCTTTTTCTTTGCTGTATAAAACCTTTTTAATTTCATGGAGTCCCACCGTTGATACTTGGGGTTAGTTCTTGTGCAATTGAAGTTCTGTTCAGCAAGTTCTTACTTACCCTAATGTTTTAAAGAGTTTTCCTTCTGCTTTCATCTAGTAGTTTTAGCATTTCAGGTTTTAAATTAAGGTCTTTGATCCATTTCAAATAGATTTTTTATACAAGTTGAAAGATATGAATCTAAATTAATTCTTCTGCAGATAGATATCCAGTTTAGCCAGCACCATTTGTTGAATAGCCTTTTTTCCATTGAATGTTTTTGCCTCCTTTGTCAAAAATTAGGTAGCATCACACCCAAGAGTATTTGGACAATCCTGTTGGACTCAATAGGGAAGAATAAAAAGAAAGAGAAGAATTTGAAGTTGTGTGGGTAGGGGGCGGTGATGGATCTAGGAGAAGTTGGGGGAGGGGAAATATGATCAAAACACACTGTATACAGTTTTCAAAGAATTAATAAACCTTTTTTTTTAATTAGGTGACCATGACTTTGTCAGTTTATTTCAGGTCCTTTATTCTGTTCAGTTGGTCTACCTGTCTATTTTAATGCCAGTACCAAGCTGTCTTTATCACAATAGCTCTGTAGTATAATTTGAGATAAGATATTGTGGTATCTCTAGCTTTGTTCTTACCCCTTAGGATTGCATTGGCTATTCTTGGTCTTTTGTGGGTTCATATGAATTTTTTGACTGTTTTGTCTAGATCTGTGAAATATGACTTTGAAATTTTGATAGGCATTGCACCAAACTTGTAGATTAATTTTGGTAGTATAGACATCTTTCTTTCTCTGACTATATTATTAATATATATGAAGGTTGGGGCTAGAGAAGTGCCTCAGCATTTAAGAACAGAGTGCTCTTGCAGAAGACCCAGGTTTAATTCCCAGCACTCACATGGCAGCTAATAGCTGTCCGTAGTTCCAGTACCAGGGGGACTCCAACACCCACTTCTGACCTCCTTGGGCATTGCACAAGATGGGTGCCATACACACATGCAGGTAATACACTCATACACATAAAATAATTAAATATTTTTAAAAATTAAAAAACTATATATGAAGGTTATTTTTTGTATTGATTTTGTATCCTGTACCTTTACTGTGTTCATTAAATCTAGGAATTTTCTAGTAGATTGTATAGGGTCTTTTAATTGTAAAATCATGCCATCTACAAATAGGGATAATTTCACTTCTTCCTTTCCTATTTTTATGTCTTACGTCTTTCTCTTATCTAGTTGCTACAGCTAAGACTTGGAGCACTATATTAAATAAGATGGGAGAGTGGGCACCCCTGTCTTGTTCCTACTTTTAGAGGAAATGCATTCAGTTTGTCTCAGTTTAATATGTTAGCTATAGGTTTGTTGTATATAGCTTTTATTATTTTGAGGTATGCTGTATCGATTCCTGATATGTCCAGGACTTTTTATCATGAAAGCATATTGTATGCCATTTCAGCATCAATCAAAATGATTATGTGATTTCTATTCTTAAGTTCTTTATATGTTTCTTACATTTATTGATTTACCTGTATTAAACCAACTTTGCCTTTGTGGGATGAAGCCCACTTGGTCATAATGTATGATTTTAATGTATTCCTGGAATTCTATTTATAAGTATTTTGTTAAGAATTTTTTCACCAAAGCAATTAGCTGTAGTTTTCTCTTTTTGTTGTGTCTTTACCTGGGTCTGGTATTAAAATAGCACTGGCTTCATAGAATTAATTTGGTAGTGTTTCTTTGCTTTCTGTTTTGTGGAACAAGTTAAAAAGAATTGGTATTAGAGCTGGGCGTGGTGGTGCACGCCTTTAGTCCCAGCACTTGAGAGGCAGAGGCAGGCCTATCTATGTGAGTTCAAGGCCAGCGTGGTCTACAAAGTGAGTTCCAGGCCAGCTGGGGCTACAGGGAGACCCTCTCTCAAAAAGACAAAAAAAAAAAAAAAAAAAAAAAAAAAAAAAAAAAAGAAGTGGTATCAGATTCACTACTGACTGTCTTCTTTAAAGACAGTTTGGTAACTTTTACCACAAATTCTCCCTGTTTGGGGGTCCTTTCTTTTCCTTCAGTGTCTGTTGTCTTTCTAAAGATAAGGGAAGATGTTAGGAGCCAACCATTTTGTTTTCTATACTAGCAAATGTAGAATTGATGTCCATTTACATTTAAAGTCTATGGCTTGTGAGCCATCTCTCCATCCCCCCCCACACACACACTTTTTCTTTGTTTGTTTTTTTGAGACAGAGTCTCCTTGTGGCCACAGCTGGCCTGAACTCACTATGTAGACCAGGCTGGCCTTGAACTCACAGAGATCTGCCTGCCTCTAAAGGCATGTGCAACCACGCCCGACCTAGGTTATATTTTTTTAATATTTTATTATTTTTATTTTATGTGTATGAGTATATTGCCTGCATGTGTGTAAGTGCACCTGTGTCGTGCAATGACCACAGAGGTCAGAAGAGGGCGTTGGATCCCCCTGAAACTGGATTTACAGATGATTGTTAGCTGCCTTGTGGGTGCTGGGAATTGAACCCAGGTCCTCTGCAAGAGCAGCCAGTGCTCTCAAGTGCTGAGCCATCTCTCCAGTCCCTATAGGTTATAGTTTTGACACATTTTTACACTATTGTTAATAGAAAAGTTGATATATTATCACTGTGATAGATCTTAGCAGGCTTGTAAAGTGCTTATGGTATTTTTGTGTAGTGCTTAGGATTCTGGAGATAACAGTAGAGTGATGCTTGGTTTACCTTCTCAGAATACTTTTTTTTTTTGGTCTTTTTTTGAGACAGGGTCTCCCTGTAGCCCCAGCTGTCCTGGGAACTCGCTATGTAGACCAGGCTGGCCTTGAACTTACAGAGATCCACCTACCTCTGCCTCCCGAGTGCTGGGATTAAAGGCCTGCACCACCATGCCCGGCTTCAGAATACTTTTATACAGATATTTCTTCTTCTCCTCCTCCTTCCCCTCCCACCCTCTCTTTCCCCCTCCTCTCCCCCTTCAACACAATGTGTTATTTTTAGGGTTATATTGTGTATTGGATATTTATGGGTGCATGAGTAATTGTAGTGTGGTACAGCATATGATAGTGATAAGGGTTCAGAGAAGAGAGGTTCTGCCTACTTGAAATGATGCAAGACTATTAAGGACCAAGTGACACTTGAACAAGATTCTAAAAGGATTGTTATGGTCTCAGTAAGATTCTAGTAAGACACTTGAAATAATGAAATAGATCAATTTCATGTTCTGGTCCTAGATTGACAATTCACTTAGAAATTATACAAATTCAGGGGCTGAAGAGATGAGCACTGACTCTTCTTGCAGAGGACTCAGTTTCCATTCCCAGCACCTACATGGTGGCTAACAACTATCAGTAATTCCACTTCTAGGGGAATTCAACCCCTCTCACTGCATGACACGGGTGTACTTACGTACATGCAGGCAACATACTCGTATACATAAAATAAAAATAATAAATTTTTTTTAATTATACAAATTCAGCTGAATTACTGAGTTTGTCTTATCTTCAGCTTTCTTATCTGCAGTGTAGCAATTAGAAAAGAGTGTGTGGTTGGTAGGAAGATTATATGAGATACTATGGCATGAACATGCTTTGTAAACTGTAAAGTCTTGTAGAAATGTTGAAAGAAAAAAAAAAACATAGTATTGAGAAGGGCACAGACCAAAGAAAAAACAAGCAAACAAACAAAAAACAGTCTATAAACCACATAGATGAGAGCAGAAAAATGTATGAGGATAACTGAATATTATCTCTCACATAATTCTTCGCCTAAGGAAATTATCTCTTTATTGCCTACTTGATTTTTTTGTGAATTTCATATATGAGTAAAGTTTTTCAAGATTTATATTCATCTCTCTTCTTAAAAAATATCAGAATGCTTTTAGATATCCATGTTGTAGCATTTAGTTTTATTGAATTCATGTACATAGTATTATGTACATTAATTTTCAGGCAAACTGCTTTAATAAAGATTGTAACATTGCACAAAGATAGCTACTGTATCTTGCAAAGTGTATTGTCTTGCAGCCTTGGCTTATAGTCATTTGTTATGACTGGTTTAGAGAACAAGTTGTATGTTCTTGGGAAGGTCAGAACTGCTCCTTTCCACAGACTCTGGTTTGAATTATTCAAGCCAGATAACACCATCTCATATTACAAGTGGTTTGAATAAGAATTGCATGCATGATAATAATGCTAAAGAAAAGGTACCCCTTCTCTGATAAGATGTCAGAGAATTCACTCAGGATTTTTCCTACATAAAATTTATGTATTTAAATATGGTTAGAAGAAACAAAATGTCAGCAAAATGGCAGAGAGTGTGTAGGTCTACAAGTCATTTTGAGTCAATGTGGTCATTGTGCTGCCTCTACTGTTATCTGATCTTGGACTCAACGCTATCTGGAACCAGTGAAATACACATGGAGTTACTTCTCCAAAGGCAAGAAACTTGGAAAACATAAACATTAAATGTTCACTTACAAAATCTTTTGAGGTCAGGTGTGGTGGCACACCCCTTTAATCCCAGCACTCCACAGAGGCAGAGACAAGGGATGTCTGAGAGATTGAGGCCAGCCTGGTCTACATAGTGAGTTCCAGGCCAGCAAGGGCTACAGGGAGAGGGAGACCCTGTCTCAAGAATAAAAAACAAACAACTTGAATGCTAATACTGAGGTTATTTTAGTGAGTAATTCTAAATTTTCTGTTCTTTACAGACTATCTTGCTAATCATGGCCGGTTAAATGAGTCTGAAGCCAGGCGAAAATTCTGGCAAATCCTATCTGCTGTTGATTATTGTCATGGCCGGAAGATTGTGCACCGGGACCTAAAGGCTGAAAATCTCCTTCTGGATAACAACATGAATATCAAAATAGCAGGTAACTGGGACACAACTGGCTCTGAAATGATCAGATATGAACCAGGGCTCTGGGTATATGGAAAGAACCCTGCAGGAACAGTCAGGAGTCTTTCTATTTAAAGACATCAGGCTTTAGCAAGGTGTACCTATGTTTCCTTAGTCTTAGGTGTGACTACTAAGAAGGAAAATAATTTCACTTAACATGCATGCACAGTGGCAGGTCTGTACTGGGGTCTGAACTGCATCCAGTTCCTTGGGAGGCTCCGTAGAATAGTTTGTTTATGAGAATGATTTTGAAGGGCTGGAGAGGACTAGAAGAGAGTCTGGTTTCTGGTACTCTAACTGGCTAGTCTCATTCTACTGATGGCTACAGTGAGGGTGCAAACGGAAAAGACCAAGAAGTGATAGAGAGAAAATGAGACTAGTTTGAGATACAAAAGCACTTTGCCTGGCTTTGATAGAGATTGTGGTCTATAACATGGAGACTAAGGATACAGATTACTTTGCTTGTTTCTCTCCCAGATTTTTCACAACTGGAATTTATTTATTCATTTTATTTTATTTTTTGAAACAGGTTCTTAGGTCTCACATAACCCAGGCTGACCTGGACCTCACTTTGTAGCCCAGGCCAGCCTCAGCCTTATGATCCTCCTACCTTTGCTTCCTAAATTCTGGGATTACAAACATGGACCACTGTTCAAGCTCCATTGTAAAAATTCTTATATTTCATAATATGAATTTCTTATTCACATAGTCAAAACTTATTTGCTAAGTGTTTGAACATAGGCTTTAGAGATAAGCTAACTAACTGCTTACCAGGAATTTAAACAAAAGACAGTTAGGTGGCGATTGGAATGGTGAGAACTGTAACTCAGTATTGCCTAATATAATACCTGTAGGCAGGGGGAGCAATGGAGGAGGAACAGCTTAGGTGAAAACCAGAATAGGAAGGATCTTGAATGCCATGTCAAAAATTTTGGAATTTATTTTATGGCCACTGAGAATCTAAGCTATTGAAAAGTTGAAGTTTGGCTGTTAGTGAAGTGGTATTGGAATAATGAAATTAGCTCTGCATGTCAGCAAACTGGTAGCACAGTGAGATGGCAGGAGCATGAGTAGGACTGAACACAGGAGACAGGAGTACATGTAACAGTCCTTCAGAAAGCAGTGGGTCTGAGTAGAGCAGCAGCAGCAGAGGTTGAAGGTATGGGGAAGAGAAAGGTTTAGGAGATAAGGGCATGGATTGAAAGCTTAGCATAGTTACAAGTGGTGGTGACTTGTTCTAGGGTTGTTAGAAGAGCAGATATATTGGTCCACTAGGCTGGATGCTCACTGGATTCAGTAAGTTTAAGAAGAAAGCAGTTTCACTGCTCTGATGCATGGGTGTATTGATTTGTCATTTTTTGTTGTGAAAATACAGTCGACAGTAGCAGTGTCTCCATGGGGTTTGTTGGCTTATGGTTCTATATTTCTTCTTCATGTTTTGGCCTTTGCATTTGGCCTCATTGATTTTTACTTTTGCTAACCTTCTCTAATGTACTTCAGTGAAATTTTTTTCATTTTCTTCTTTAAAACATCAACTGCCCTAAAATTATCTTTTCCAGAAAATTCCTACCTCCACTGCCCACTCTACCACCCTTTTTTAAACTCCTAAGAAGTGAGAAACTCTAGCATCCTTTATTACCAAAACAGAAGGTCTGTGAAAAACAGTAATTCAAAGGAGTTCTGGGGGTCTTGTTAGTCAGAGAGAAAGGTGTTGAGAGACTAAATTATGTGCCAAAGGATTTACAAAATGCTCTGTTACTAGAAGCTCACAAGACTATGTCCAGCTAAAATACCAAAAAAAAGCTTGTAAACACAAATGTGCAGAATATTGCTTTACAATTATAACCAGGTTTTATCAGTGTTTGCTATAATTTTGCCCAAGCTATAGGTAGGTCAGTAAAGTATGTCTGATATAATGTGGTATTTAGGTTTTCATTTTGTTGGGTTTTGCTATTTTTATTTTTGCTTTTGAATATGTAAGCGTCAAGGTTTTCTTAATTTTATAGAGGATAAATAAAATGTCAGGTGCCTAAAGCTGTTCCCTCTGGTTAAGGTTGTGACAGTTAACATTAAATTGTGCTATTCCAGGTGCTCACCAAGGTCCTTTTGTTGTTCATTTTTACAGCACCCTCAGAAGCTGTATAGCTATTGCCAGTTTTTAGAGGGGGAAGCCAAATATAGAGAGGTTGAATAACTTGTTAAGACAACACAGGTAATCAGTTGCAGATCTACAATTCAAAACAAGGTCTCTGTGACCTAGCTTCCAAGCATTATATGTCAGTTATCCCTCCAGGGGTACCCACCAAGTAAATTTGTGTCCCATTGTTCTATGTTTATCCATTTAGAGTCCTTGCTCCCTTTCTTCACAACTGGAAACACATCCACGTTATTTCTGAGCACTCAAATATATTCTTGCTCACACTTTTTTCTGTCATCTTCATTACTTTTATTGAATGTTTATTGAACATCTATTATGGTCCAAAGCTAAGACCTGGAAATGCATACATTTCAAGACAGACAGACAGACAGACAGATGAGGGTGGGAGGGAGGGAGGGATGGAGAGAGGACAAAAAGCTTAACTTCTTATCACCTTAAGGAGTTAAAGAACTAGACCTTTTAAAAGTAAATATAAAGTAATCATTGTTTTCAAGGCCATGAGGCTAGGAAAAAGACTGTGAGTGGACAGATCAGGAAAATTATTAGCCAAGATTGATTAAAAAGAAGGTATTTGGGGTGGGGCTAGAAGAGGGCAGATAAAGAAGGGGGGAAGGGAAAGGTAGGGTCAGGGTCAGGGTGGCTGCTCAGGCCTGTGGCTCAGTGTGGGCAAAGGCAGGGGCCGAGAATGCTGGCATGTTTCAGGAAACTACAGGCTCCAGCGGTGGGGATATGCTAAGTGCCAATGGAAAGTGCTAGGGCAGAGTCTGGCTGCTCATGCAGGATTCCGGTGTCATGACAAATTTAGAATTGTTCTTGAAGAATTTCTCTAGGGTATTTGTTTTTATTGATAGATCTTAAAACTTTTTGGTGACTTTTCTTACCTTTAAGAACATACTCTAGATCTATGAGGATTCTTGACTTTTAAAGAAACCTTAACACAGGACAGGTAGGACTCGATGGAAAGAAATCAAAAGAACAAAAAATAAAAAGTTATTGCTGAAAATAAACTTTTTTCTGCTTCTTTTGCTCATGAAAATCTCTTTAATTGTAAATGAACTTTTTAAAGCCACCTATTATGTTGAAAGTGAGAAGAAGTTCAAACCAAAATTAGGTTTACATTAAAAATGGGTCTGTATTCACTGTTTTCAGTTTTCTTATCTGTAAAGGGGGAATGACACAAGTTCACCTCTCATAATAGCTATTATTTGAATTAATGTTTGCAGAGTACTTAAAACAGTGCCTGGTACATGTCCTATTTAAATGTTTGTAAAATAAATTGTTACTTAAAGGTCTTAGCACCATGTAAACACTCAACAAAAGCTGGCTGTTATTTGTATCCAGCGTATAACTGATTCCCTATGAAAACAAAGCCTTAAAGTTTGCTAGCTGTGTAACACATTAAAAAAAAAAAAGGGAGGGGGGCTGGAGAGATGGCTCAGCAGTTAAGAGCACTGACTGCTCTCTTGCAGAGGACCCAGGTTTGATTTCCAGCACCCACATGGCAGCTGCAAACTGTCCTTAACTCCAGTTCTTCTGACCTCTGTGGCATTGCACAACACAGGTGAACTCACATACTTGCAGGCAATACACTCATACACATAAAATAAAAACAATAAATAAAATATTTTTAAAAATCAGCTGGCCATAAAGCCTTGTTAATACAAATTGTAAAGAAACAAGGAAAGTTTATCACTTACACTTGACATTATCTCTGGTGAAATTTTTTTTCCTCTGAGCGAAACCTTTAACTAGTAATATACTTTGCCTGGTTAAACTGACCTGTGCATGACAAATCACTTTAACTCAAGGGGAACACTTCCTTTCTTGATGGGTGGCCTATTACTTCTGCCATTGCTTCTGACAACCTTTCTTCTTACTAGAAAACCTTGAGATTAGGTTTTTACATATTCTCTTCCAGCTTTGAGCCCTAGAAGTGAGAATGAATGGAGGAGGTGACAACAGGATATACTGGAAAAATGTTTGAGCATCTTCCATTCATTATCCTCTTGCTATTGGTATCCTGTGACCTATGACAAGAGCCTTGCATGAGCAAGCTTATTCATTCTTCAGTCCTCTTGACAGGATTAGCACATCAAGCCCGGAATGTAGAGGAGCTCTAAGGCTTTCGTTTATTTTCCCACTTTCTGCCCTTATTCCGTAAGTGAGAAATATCATTTATTGAACTCCCTGACTGGACACAGTGAGACAGCTCATTCTGGTCAGCTGGATCACATTGCATCTCAACTGTGATGATTATTCCTCTGCCCTCCTGTCAGAGTGACTGATATTTGGAAGTGAACAGTGCAACCGACTTTTTCTTGCTGGTGGGCAACAGAGTGTGCATTGACGTCAGTGGCTGATTGGTACTCAGCTGATTGGTACTCAGTTTGTGCGATGAGTCAACTTCATTCCTGCCGCTCCCCTACCTTTCATTTGTCAGCATTCATTTCCTCATGATTGTCTTCTTCACTCCCTACTGTGGTAATTACAAAGGAATGTGGACCTCGTCAACAAGGCTGGGTAGCTAAATTCTATTGGTAATACAGGAAAGGCTAAATTTAGCCCAAAGCCACCTGATGTTCAGCAAATTTTTTTTGTTGTTTCTTACAATTATACAATTGTGTGTGTGTGTGTGTGTGTGTGTGTGTGTGTGTGTTGTGCGCGCGTGCGCGCGTGGGCCAAGGAAGAGGTCAAAGGACAACTTGCAGGACTCAGTTCTCACCTTCCACCATGGCTTGGTGGCAAACACCTTTATCAGTGCTATTTGATTGACCCAAGAATTTACTTTATTTTTAAATTTTATTTATTAATTTATT